CATATTATGTTGGCACTTTTTTTAGAATATTATTCTAATAACGCACTTGAAAATATTGGATGGATGAATACAGTTGTAGACATCATGCCAGAATTATTTAAGAGTGATGAAGAAAGAAATAATGGTAAGATTAATGAGAATGAAATAGATTTAAAATATGGTTGGCTATATGATTATGTTGCAAGCATCATGTAGAAATTATTTAAGAAGAATGGAAACGAGAAAGAGAAAGATGATAATATTTATGAGAATGAAATGAATTCTAAATCAGGTTTGCTATAAATTTTATTATATTAACACATAATTATATGAACCTTTTTAATATTAATCTTCATGAAATAGAAACTTACGCATATCATGCTCAAAAATTATTTTATAATCCTTGCTTTTGTAACAAGTCACTGGATTTATTATCATTCGAATTTCTTGAAATTTATCAAAAGTCAAATGATTTATTAAAAGTTTTTATACCTATAACACAGTTGATTCCACAGGATTCTGAGTTGTATTTACAAGAAATCGAGTATGAAGATAAAAATTTATATTAAAATTTGTTGTTATTTTACTATAGATTAATTCAATTTCAATTTAAATTTGCTACAGTTATGATAAAATTGTTGATATTCGAATGGTCCCTTTAACAGACTTCACAACAAAGAAAAAATCATTATTGAATGTAAAAAAAAGTAAACTTACAAGGTTTCTAGACGTTTTAATTTTTCCTAGCCAATATTTATCTTATGAAGACTTTAAAGAGAAGGATTACAGTCCCTTTATTAGACTCATTATGGAACTCATAAAAAAGGGTAAAATTGAGATTTTATATGAAAACCCATCTATAGGAGCTGCCATGAATTGGATGTTGTATTCTTCTAAATTCTATTTCCCTAGAGCACTGTGTCTTTTTTCCTTGTACTTTTTGACCTATTCAATTTTCTCTTGGGCATACATTTCCCATGTTCAAATAACTGGTACACTTCAACTTATGATGGTTACAACCATTGTATTATTCTATTATTTGGCATATGTTCATATCGTGGTTGAATTTAACCAATTCCGTCGTCAAAAAATGGCATATTTTACAGATCCCTTTAATATGGTAGATCTTCTATCAATTATTGTAGCGACATTTCTTTTTAGTTATATTTTGATTCGTTACTATACATTTGAGGACGGATTTAAAAACGTCGAAAGTAGTCAATTCTTAACATTTATTATATTCTTGAGTATTTTAATACTTTGGTGTGAGATTGTAAGTGTAAACTTATTATGCAATTTCGTATTGTTGTAAATTCTTTTTTTCTATTTTTGACTATTAATTTTATGTATTGCTATCAGATTTTACTATTGCGTGTATACGAAAGTATAGTATTGATTAATCAATTCTTCTTGTTAATAACCATCATAGATGCATAATTATTGTTCATTGTTAAATTTAGGTTTTGCGCAGTATCTTTTTATACTCTTATATATTATTATTAAGATACGACAATTTTTATGGTTTTTTATTCTAACTATTATCGCAGTGGTAATAATTATTTTTAGATGAATGTTTTAATTTTATTCATATTAACATAATGCATTAAATTTAAGTATTATACTGCATTACAAGGGACATTCATTGTAAGTTTTATATTTAAATTTATTCATCTATTACTGTATCTTATAAAAATTTAAAATATCAATATATTATGTATATATAGATTTATTCTTCTAGGTTATCCATATTATATTGGGCTAAGTCAATCTTCGACAACGTACGAAATTACTAATGGAAATGCAGTTTATACTATGACCGGAGAGGTATCAGATAATCCGTTTTCAAGTATTATTGGGGCTATACTTGCAGTACATGATTGGTCATCAATTTCATTAGATACATGGAATTTTTGGCCACTTACTATAATTAGTGTAATTGGCTGTTTTATTTTTGTGATTATATTACAAAATGTAATAATTTCATTCATGAGGTATGTTTTTGATCTTACAATCTATCATTATAATTTTGTACTGACCTCTAATTCTTTTTAAAAAAGCGACGCTTTTTCAGATGCAGCCAAAGATAGTAAACGCGGAGTATATGGCTTTCAAGTTGGCTTGATTCGTGATTTTGCTCTCCTTAAAAAGTCATTAGAATTTAATACTTAGATTACAAATTTAAGGTTAAACTAAGAGCAAAATATATCTGCTTTTATGATGATCCGTCTATTACAAAGTCATGGAAAAAAAAATCAGAAAAAATGCAATCCAAACCATATCCTAAAATGCCCAAGTTACGTAAGATCGAATTTAAATCTTGGCCAGTTGAAAGATGTGAATTTATTTGGAAAAAAGAGAATAAAGAGCAAGTGACCTTAAAAAATTTAACTGAAGAATTTGATACAGAAAGATACGGAATTATTTATGATACGGAACCATTTCCATATTCTCTTATTCACCAATAGAACTGATATAACTCCAAAGTTCATAATCACCTACATTTACTTTTTGATACGTACGGTAGACCGCAAAAGTAACGCCTGATGATCAATTTTATAATAAAACATATATAAAATACTTTAGGAAATTTTCTATTAGAAAAAAAACTCGATTTTATTTTGTCCCCGGTGAAAATTATACATAAAATATAAATATAAAATTTTCTAGTCATATAAAATTAAAGGGTTCTTCTAGGCATCTCTAGCTAGAGATGCCTAACGATAATATTTCGGGCTTAATAGCCAATTAAAATGCAAATAAATCACGTGGTTGCCGTTTCGTGTAACACGAAGGACGATCATCACGGATCAGTCCGACAAAACAAAAACAACAAAAGAGCGAAAAAAGTGAAAAAGTCAAAAATACAAAAAACGACAATCTAAACCTATTCTGGTGTACTGATTAAAAATGTCGGGAAGACAATTTTACATATAGAACTTGCCTTCGCTCTAACCTTGTGCAACCCTAACTCTAGTTAAAATCATATGATCAAATGTAGTTTTACATTGGAGATGCATAAGCTAGGCATCTCTAGCTAGAGATGCCTAGAATTT